CCCGGCCCCGCGTCCACCCGCCCCTCCCACCGGGGGCGGCAGAGCCCACCTAGGTAGGCGGAGTCGGGCGTGGAGCGGTAGCTGTGGGTGGGCGAGCGCGCGGGCAGCCCGTGGGTGGGCGAGCCCGGGAGGCTGTCACTGGACGACAGTGAGCGGTTCAGCGAGGACAGCGAACGGCTGGTGTGCAGCAGGTTCGACTGCTTCGTGATCTTCCGGAAGAGCGAACTGCGCTTCTTGCTGGTGGGGAAAAAGGCAGCGCCTCCTCGGGACCAGACCGTGGAGCTCAGGCTCCTCCCACATGTGGGCGGTAACACAGCGCCTGGGTCGCCCACAGCCACGCCCCCTCGCCATAACCCGCTAATCAAAGAACTTCCCTTGGCTCAATCCTGTGGCCACGCCCCCCCCCGTTTAGCCACTCCCCTCCCCACTTCTCTTGGCTTAGTCCTGCTGAGGCCCTTTTCGTTTTGACCATCCCCACATTTCTGATTCCCCAGTTTGGCCACGCCCCCTGCTATAACCCACCAATCAAAAAACTTCCCTTGGCTCAGTCTTGGGAGGAGGGCTTTTCATTGACACGCCCACTTGCCTGATTTTCCCCTCCTTGTTTAGCCACGCCCCTCATTACAACTCATCAAAGAACTTCCCTTGGCTTAGTCCTTCCGGACCCGGTCCAGTTTGACCACGCCCACTGGTCTGGCCCCGCCCAACTTAGCCACTACCCTCACTACAATCCACCGAGGAACTTCGGTTGGCTTAGTCCTGCTTGACCCTTTTTCGGTTCCAAGCCCACATTTCTGACTCCTCTCTCTTTAGCCACCCCCCTCACTACAAACCTACCAATCAAAGGACTGCCCTTAGCTTAGCTCTCCTGGGCTCCCTTTCCACTTTGGTCAATTTGGGTGGTTATCTCCAATTAACCACCCCCCAAAAATGGCGGAAATAGAGCTGCGGTTCAAGTGGTAGCGCACCAGATGAGAGAAAAATCCAAGTGAGGCCTGGAGGCCTTGAATTCAAGCCCCAGGACTGGCACAAAATAAAAACAAAACAAAAACAATTCTCATCTGGCCTCACCCAGAGCTACTTCATTACGTGGGTAGAAATTACAGTCATCTGTCGAATAATAGCAGACATTTCAATTAAAGAAAGGGGAGGAGTCCCATAAGATTATATAGCTCAATGATGTCACATTTGCTTTAGCACTCTGATAAAAATCACCTAAGAGCACCTTATGAGAATAAACTTGTCATTAAGCCAAGCATGCCTGTTTTGCAGCCAGCTGAGCCTTACTTGGCATGCTTATTCCTGTGAGAAATCTCCAACAGGACAGGACCGTCTCCTGGACATTCTGCCTTCACTCTTGTGCTCACTTATCTTTCTGTCCCTATCTGCTGCCCACCTGCCCAAGATACTCCCACACTGCTTTTCGCCCATCTGGGAACCCTCCTTTGCTAGCTTCTCCAACTCTTCCAAACTCCTCCCTCTTTAACTGGCTTGTCCATTTGCTTTGGATCTATCTACCTCTCCTTAGCCCTTCCCCTGCCCTCACCCCGAGCCATCTTTAGCCCCACCCACTTATCAAGGACTGGTTTTGCTTATGGCCCTGCCCACCTCTCCTGGCCCTCCTTGGCCGAGGGCCGCTTGTTCCTCCGGGCCATTTTGGCCTTGTAGCTGCTGCGCCTTGCTGGGCCAATGCGGATGGAGGTATTTTCGAAGGGTGTTGTGGTTACTGCCACCTTGTTGCCGCTCTGGGAAAAGAAGGGATGGAACACTCGGGCTGGAGACTGCTCTTGGGGCCTCTGTGCCCTCCCCCTGTGGTCTTCTCCCCAGGACTCACCTTAAGGATCAGCTCTACGACCTCTGGGTGCACCATACCATGCACAGGCTCTCCATTCACGTGGGTGATCAGGTCCCCAGCACACAGCCCCGCCTCTTGGGCTGGGCCCCCTTCCTCCACGTGCTGGTGAGGGAGAACCCCAAAAGAGAACATAGTTAGGGGCTGGGAAGGTGGCTCAGGAGTAGAGCGCTTGCCTGACATGCATGAGGCCCTGGGTTCCATTCCTCAGCAGAAAAAGCTGGAGCCGGGCGCTGGCGGCTCACGCCTGTCATCCTAGCTACTCAGGAGGCTGAGATCTGAGGATTGCGGTTCAAAGCCAGCCCGGGCAGGAGAGACTGTGAGACTCCAATCTCCAATAAACCACCAGAAAACTGGAAGTGGCGCTGTGGCTCAAGTGGTATAGAGTGCTCGCCTTGAGCTGAAGAGCTGAGGGACAGCGCCCAGGCCCAGAGTTCAGGCCCCGTGACAGACAAAAATAAATAAATACGAGAGAGCATAGTCAGGAGTCTGGTAATATGACATAGCTTACATACTAGGTAACCTTGTAAGGCACAGTCGTCTTAATTAACACCTTAGGTAATTATCATTATTCTTTCCATTAAAGATAAGGAGGTCTTGCTCAGGCTTTTTTGGTGCCAGTTCTCGGGCTTCCACTGAGGGGAAGGCCTGGGTATTGTCCCTGAGATGTTTTTTGCCCAAGGCTGCTAGCACTCTACTGTGTGAGCTACAGCTTCATTATTATCTGGCTTTGTGTGTGTGTGTGTGTGTGGTTAATTGGAGATAAGAGTTTCATAGATTTTTCTTGCCCAGGCTGGCTTCCAATCTAGATCCTCAGACCTCAACCTCCTGAGTAGTTAAGATGATAGATTTGAGCCAGGCATCGCCCAGGTTTCTGAGTTCCAGATGGGAGCTTTTCCGATCTCCTCTCCCATTCTCCCTCCTGGGACCTACATCTCGACCTTGAGTGCTCACCCAAACAATGTGGTGGACGCTGTAGACATCGGAGTCACCCATATAGACGCGGATGGCGCGCAGCGTGAAGCCATACTTCTTGCCTGAGCGTTGGATGGTGATGGGAGAGCGGAGTCCACTGACAGCCGGTGAGTAGTCCCGGCTGGGTGAGGAGTCCCGTGAGGACGGGTTGGAGGAGAGAGATCGTGGGGACATGGGACTAGCTAGTGGTGAGCTTCCATGCGGGTCCACTGCAGAAACAGAGCGCGGCCAGAGCTCAGGGCCACCCGACAAGCTCTCCTCCTTACTTAGGTGAGGTTATCTCTGCTCCCGCCTCCCGGGACGCTACCATTGGCTCACCGTGGAGCCAATCACTGTAGACAGGGACAGTGTAACCTTCCCATTGGCCTGTCCTGGCTCCAAGGAGGGAAGCCCCTCCCCTTGTGGGTGGGGCCCAGCCATCACCTGCCGGAATCATGACGGACAGGGCTGTGGCTGAGGCGGACTTGATGACTTTCCCCCCGGTTCGGGAAGGCCGCTTCTCCATGGCGGGATCCCCGGACAGCTGTTGGTGCCGCGCTCGGCGTAGAACTAGGTCGTTGGTGGCCCTGGGGCCAGATGTGTCCCCGTCCTTCGAGGGTGGGCAGAGGTCACCTGGGCGCGGGCGCTCCACTGCGGCCGAAAGCAGATGGATGGGTTTGGGGATCAGTCCAAGGCCAGGCTGTTCCCGCGCCCTCTCCCGATGGACAGCGAGTTTCATCACCATGAGCACGTACCCAGTACATAGACCCTGAGTTCAGGTCTATATCCCTGACCGTGGCCTGGCCTGCCTACGTAATGCTCACGATCTCAGGTTGCACCTTGCATTTATGCAACGAGATCTTGCAGGCTCATTGAAAGATGCTCCATCTCTGTGCACGGCGGGGGGAGGGGGAGGGGCGGGGAGGGCATCAGGAGGGGCGGGCACTCACGGGCCTCCGGGTCCCCCGCGCTGGGGGTGCCTTCCCCTGCAGCTGCCTCTTTGGAGGTCCGGGCATCCAGCGAGCCTGGGGGATCAGAGCTAGGCCGGGGGGGCCTGCGCAGCCGGGCCTCATCCTCGTCCTCTTGGGGGGCGCTGAAGCGGCTGGGCTCCAGCAGCGCCGAGAAACGCCGGCGCGCGCCCAGTGGGGGACTCGCCTCCCCCTCCAGGAAACTGGCCTCCGAAGCCGAGAAGCGTTTGCTGCGCGGGAAGGGCCAGGTCAGGGGCGCCGCCCCCGGAGCCACGCCCCGAGCCACGCCCCCACCCAGCCCGCTCTCCCGCTCACATCTCCGGGGAGCCCCCTCTCCAGGTCTTCTCTCGCAGGGTCAGGCCGCCCAGGCCCTCCCGCTTGCCCGGCACCTTCTCCTCTGGGCCCTTGGCGCTTGGCTCCCTCTTGCTAACCCCCGCTGCTGCCACGGGGGTCTTGGGTTCGTGCTGGGACAGCTGCTCCATGCTGCTGTACACCTGGCCCGAGGGGAGGTGGTGACAGTGCCCTCATTCCAGAGCCAATCAGCGGTCCTGCCACTCGTACCCGCCTCTGCCTCCCTCCACCCTATCAGGGCCAGGCCCCGCCCACTTCCGGACTGGCCTCCAATAAGGTACAAGACTTCAACTCAAGCCCCGCCCACCAAGTTAGGCCTATCCTAGGCCCCGCCCCTCCCGTGCCACCCCCTTGCGGCTCTCCACCTGACAGCCTCTTCCCAGCTCCGGCCCAGTTCGTGCCCAGTCAGCAGGGGTTGCCCGGGGTTGCGGGGCTCTGCTCCGCCCATCTGTCATCTCACCCCCCCCCACACATCCTGACCTAGCTTCTCCCCACTTGTGAGTCTTGTTTGTACCATTAGACCAAGCCACGAACCCACAGCCTGCCTCCCCTCTCCCGGTCGCTTCCCAGTCCTGAGCCTCGGGGGTGTCTGGGACTCCGGTCCCCACAAGCCCCCCAGGCCCACTTTTGCCTGCTCTCCCAGCCCAGGCCCGGCCCCAGGCTCGCCCCACTCAAGCCCACCTTGCTGAAGCGCGGGGAGCAGGAGGAGAACTGGCGGATCTCCACGGGCTCCTCCTCCGTCGTGTCATCCTCGTCGTAGGAGTTCACGTGGTGATACCTGTCCGAGCGGGCTGCGGGAGAACGGGACCGTGACGGCGGCGCTGGTCCGTGCCTTCTGAGCAGCGCCAGCGAGGCCACGGGCAGGCCACACCCCTGCCTCCCCTTGTTAGAATTCAGGCTCCACCCCCAGGTCTGCGTGGCTGTTTTCTCCCTCTCTGCCTATCTATCCCCAGAAAGGATCCCCCCCAGACCCCACTTACACCCCTCAACAATCCTGAGCCAGCTTCGGCTCGGCCTTGGTCCCAGCCTGGGCCGCAAGCCCAGGTCCATGGGTAGAACTCACCCCAATCCAGGCACCCCAGCTTCCCCCAGGTACTAATACTTACCTAGTTCTGAGCCTAGGCCCACCCCTAAGCAGGCCACGCCCCTCGCAAGTGCCACACAGATCATGCCCACGAACGCCCCGCCCCCAAGAAAGCCCCTCCCACCCAACGCCCCGCCCACCCTTGCCCCGCCCCCAAACAACCTCAGTCTTTTCATCTCAGAGTCAGAGACAGATTCAGCCGGACCGGGAATCCCAGGCCTCACTCCCGCCCCCCCGGCCCCGCCTCCTGCTCTCACTCACTGTCAAAGTAGCTGGTGTCATCTTCTGACTCTAGGTGGGGGATGAACTCAGCCTTCTGCCTCAGTAGCCCCGTCCAGTCCAGGTCGCGGAAGAAGCTGTGCTGCTTCACCTCAAAGGCGCCACCTGGCGGTAAGAAAGGGTCCCAACGCCAGCGGATGGCCGGCAGCCCAAGGCCACAGCTCAAGCTGGACCTGGGGTTGGGGGGGCCGGGGGTGGATCCTGGCAAATAGAGCCTCCCCAGCACTGCAGCACCCGCTTTACCTGCCCCAAGCCGGACCAGAGGGTTGGTCTGCAGGAGGCTGGATATCAGGAGCTGGGCATCTGTGGGCAGGGCCTCATCTCCCTCCGGCCACAGGATGTCATCTGCAGGGTAGAGTAGAGCCGAGGGCTCCCTTTGGTCGCCTGGGGTCCCCCAGACCTGCCCATCTCTCCATGCCACCCCTGCCCACTCGAGGGAGCACATACCACTGATGACCTGTCCGAAGAGCTCTTCCGGGGTGTCCCCAAAGAAGGGCACACAGCCCACCAGGAACTCGTAGAGGATGATCCCCATGGCCCACCAGTCCACCGGCTTGCCGTAACCCTGGCGCAGGATGACTTCGGGTGCGATGTACTCTGGGGTCCCACAGACCTGGGGGCAGGCGGTCAGCCCACGCCCTGGCCGCAGGAGGGGCCTCGAGGGAGAGCTGTGCCACCCCCCAACCAGGCCCTGGGTCCCTGAGGCCCTGCAGGGTCACTCCACCCTCGGTGACCCCCACGCCCGCCACACACCTGTTTATCCAGGAACTCGCGGGCATCCTTCTCGATGTGGCCTTCGTACAAGTTGGTGGTGAGACTCATGAGCCCCATCTTGGAGAGGCCGAAATCTGTGAGCTTTATATGGCCCATGGAGGTAATGAGGAGACTGCAGGGAAAACGGGGTGATCTCAGATCTCTGGGTTTCTGGGGGGAGAGAGGGAATGATGGCCCAAACAAACAAAAAAACAACAACCCAGAGCTCACTTGTCAGGCTTGAGATCGCGATGGACAATGCCATAATTGTGCAAGTACTCCAGCGCCAACACGGTCTCTGCGAAGTACATCCGGGCCATTTCCACCGGCAGTGCGCCGATGTTCTTCAGAAGTGTGGCACAGTCACCGCCTGTGGGCCAGGGGACAGACCCAGTGGTGAGATGAGGGCCCGTCAACTGTAGAACAGCGCCAACTAGCTGGGGGCCAGTGTTTAACACCGGTCAATCTAGCTAGCTGCTCAGGGGGCTAAGATTTGAGGATCAAGTTTGGAGGCCAGCTCAAGCAGAAACATCACCCCCCCAAAAAAAAAAAAAGAAAAGAAAAAAAGCCAGAAGTGGTGGTGTAGCTCTCAAGTGCCAGCTTTGAGCAAAATAGCTAAGGGACAGCACCCAGACCCTGGGTTCAGGACCCAGTATTTGGCACACACACATGAAAATCACACCAATGTCTTCTTCAATTGTACCCATTTTGCAGACATAGGAAAGGGAGGTCCAGAGAGGGGTCTTCCCCTTCCCAAATCTCACTTCTGAGTCTCTATCTCCTAGTATATACAATGGGCTGATTGTAGAAGCAGCTAGAAAATTCTCTAGAGATATTCTTTTTGTTGTTGTTGGTTGTGGGCCTGGGCACTGTCCCTTGGCTCTTCAGCTGAGTCAAAGCATCACTTTCAGTTTTCTGGTGGTTAATTGGACATAAGAGTCTCTCAGATTTTCCTGCCCAGGCTGGCTTTGAACTGTAATCCTCAGACCTCAGTCTCCTGAGTAACTAGGATTACAGATATGAGCCATTGGTGCACAAGGCTAGAGCCAAGCTGGGCACTGGTGGCTCACACCTGTAATCCCAGCTGCTAAGGAGGCTGTGATCTGAGGACAGGTTAGAAAACAGCCCAGACAAGAAAGTCCCTGAGACTCTTATCTCTAATAAACTACCAAAAACCAGATATAGAGCTGTGAGTCAAGTGCCATCCTTGGGGGGGGGGAAGGCAGGGAAACAAGTAAGCTAAGACTCCAGTAAATGGCTAGGGGTGACTTGACTGGTTAAATAATTGTCTAGTGAAGCCTCTAGCATCATAAACACAACAACAACAACAGCAGCAGCAGCAGCAGCAGCCTCCCACGTCCACGCTGCTTGAACCCTGGCAGTGGCGTGCTGCTGCCCTGGAAGTAGAGGAAATCCTCCATCGTCCCCTCCATGCGGGGCCTCCCCTCCCCCAGCCTCGTCTCTTCACCTGAGCTCAGGTGTGGCTTCCTCCAGTCTCTTCCATTGCTCTCACTTCAGATCCTTTGCACTGGGAGCCATATCCCCCCCCCACATACATACACACACACACACACTCCCCTCACACACACACACACATACACACACACTCCTCACACACACACATACACACCCCTCACACACACATACATACACACCCCTCACACACATACATACACATACATACCCCTCACATACATACACACATACATACACACCCCTCACACACATACACACATACATACATACACACATACATACATACACACCCCTCACGTACATACACACATATATACATACATACCCCTCACACATACATACATACATACACACCCCTCACACGCACATACACACCCCTCACATACATACACACACATACACACACACCCCTCACATACATACATACATACACACCCCTCACACACATACACACCCCCACACACATACACACATGCATACACACCCCTCACACATACATACATACATATACACCCCTCACACATACATACATACACACACACCCCTCACACACACACACACACACACACACACACACACACACACACACTGACTCCATTTTGCCTTGTCTGGCCGCCATCCTCTGACCATCTCCTCACTAGGTGCACAGGACGGGAGGGACAAATGGAGGGATGACCATTTGGGAGAATACACACACAGACCGAGGGTGGATGTGTGGACAGACACAGGGATGAAGAATAACAGAAATAGATGAACGGGTAAACTGGGGAATGAATTGTGGATTTACAGAAAGAGCTGAATAGATGGATAGAATGGCTAGTAGATAGATGTACAGACAGGCAGGCAGATTAATTGATGAATAGATGACAGAGGTAAGTAGATGAAGGATAGGTAGGTAGACCAAAGATAGATGATGGATATGTGGACAGATAGAAGATAAAGAGATATATAATAAACACTTGTAAGCTTGTAATCCTAGCTACTCATTAGGCTGAGATCTGAAGATCACGGTTTGAAGCCAGCCCTGGCAGGAAAGTCCATAAGACTCTTATCTGTAGTGAACCACCAGAAGACTGGAAGTGGCGCTATGGCTCAGAGTGGAAAAGCGCTAGCCTTGAGCAAAAGAAGCTCAGGGACAGCGCCCAGGCCCTGAGTTCAAGCCCCAGGACCAACAGAAAAAAAAAAAGAAAGAAAGAAAAGAAAAAAGAAAGAAAATAAGAAAAAGAAAATCTGGGAAGACAAATAGGTGATAGGCAGATAGAGATAATAGATGGATGGTAGGCAAATAAATAATCGATAAATAGATGATAAATAGATATAGATGATGGACCGGTGGATACGTGGAGAGGTGATAGAAGATAGATGCATGGTTAGGTGACAGGTAGGTAGGTAGGTAGTTAGCTAGATTGATAGATAGATAGATCCATAGAGCTCACTAGATAGATGCATAGATCATAGACAGAGACAGACAGATAGGTAGATACTTAGGTAGATCGATACATAGATCAATAGCTAGGCAGGTAGAGAGGCAGATTGCTAAATAGAGAGACAGATTCAGACAGACAAACTGACAGATAGACAGATAGATGAATAGGTAGATGACAGAGATAGGTAGGTAGAGAGACAGGTAGATAGAGACAGACAATCAGACAGAGAGAGCGAGAGATAGATACATAGATGAATAGGTAGATAGACAGACATACTGACAGATAGATGGATAGATAGGTAGATGGATGGATGGATGGGCAGATGGATAAAGAGCGATGTCAGTGACAGACGGACAAACAGGGGGGGGTAGGGGGGACTCTTTGGGGCGCCCCAGCCCCCAGCCACACCTTCCACATACTCCATGACCATGCAGAGGTGGCGGCGCGTCTCGAAGGAGCAGAGCATGCCCACCACGAAGGGGTTCTCGGCGAAGGTGAGGATGTCGCGCTCCACGAAGGCCTGCTGGATCTGGTTGCGCAGGATCAGGTTCTGCTTGTTGATCTTCTTCATGGCGAAGCGCTGGCGGGTGTCGCGGTGCCGCACCAGGTAGACGGCGCTGCGGGGGAGCGGGCGGGGATGGCCGTCACGCCGTGCCCGGCCCCGCCGCCCTCCCCCGCCAGAGCCCGGCGTGGCTCACCCGTAGGCGCCGTTGCTGATCAGCTTGATGGTGTCGAAGTCGCTCTCGCCGGGGGGTTTCTTGGCCTTGGACGCGCTGCTCCGGCCCTGCGCAGGGGTGGGGCGGTGGGGAGGGGAAGATGGAGACCACCTCACCCTTGTCAGCACACATGGACTCCATTTACCCCCCGGGGGAAACTGAGGCAGAGGGGGGGTCCTTCATCGAAGGACCACAGGACTGGACAGAAGAGCTTGGGTCAGGATTGAAACCCAAGACCACCTTGGAAGACCTATTCCTTTAGGAAAGTGAGCAGAAAAAACTGCAAAACGTCTGAAGCATCAGAACATATATAAAGAGTTCCCAGAAATCCTGACAAAAGGCCTACCTACTGAAGAGGGAAAAGCGGGCAAGGCGGATGAACGAGAATGAGAACTTACCAAAAGCATTGTAAAAGATAATCCATCTTTTTATTTGACACAAAGGGGAGTTACACCTACCTCCAAATACTAGGCCATTTTATAATTAGCAGATTGACAAAAGGCTGACAAATCCCATAGGCACAGCTGTGAAAAAAAGGCTGACGTGTGTCTGTGTGTGTGTGTCTGTGTGTGTGTGTCTGTGTGTGTGTGTCTGTGTGTGTCTGTGTCTGTGTAAGAGAGAGACAGCATTGAGACTTGTATGCACGGCTTCATGCTCTCACTTGAGCTTTTTGCTCAAGGTTGGTGCTCTACCACTTGAGCCACTCCCTTTGCCACTTTATTGGTGACTGACTTAAAGAAACAGGCTTAAACCTGGCAGCCAGGCTTGAGACTTAGTCCCACCCTGCTTAGGGGTGTGGTGAAGGTCTGGGCTGTGTCTCCAGCACACACACACAGTCACACACACACAAACACACACACGTAAGACAGAATTCTATACAACCAGACGGGCGCAGGTGGCTCACACCTGTAATCTTAGCTACTCAGGAGGCTGAGATCTGAGGATCATGGTTCAAAACCAGCCCAGACAGGAAAGTCCATGAGACTCTTATCTCCAATAAACCACTCACAAAACCAGAAGTGGCGCTGTGGCTCAAGTGGTAGAGCGCTCACCTTGAGCTGAAGAGCTGAGGGACAGTGCTGGGCCCAGAGTTTAAGCCCCATGACTGACAAAAAAGAAAAAAAGAATTCTATACAACTGCCTGAAGAAGGCACTTTGGTTTATATCAGAACCAAAAATGCATGGTGATTCTGACCAAGCAACTTTTGAATTTATGCTACTAACGTGCAACAAGAAGAAAACAGCTTGTGTTCACTGTTCCGAGAAAGACTACAAGCAGCCATAGATCCATGCATAGACAATTCGTTAATTAAACACAGAAGGGCATCATGAGCAAATACTGTCACTGCTTAGTGCTGGCGTTCACGCCTGTAATCCCAGCTACTCAAGAAGCTGAGATCTGAGGATCGAGGTTTGAAACCAGACAGGGCAGACAAATCTGAGAGCCTCTTATTTCCAACTAAGCAGCAAAATGCCAGAAGTGGAGGCCTGGCTTAAGTGCTAGAGCCCCAACCCTAGGTGGGAAAGCCAATTGAGAGTGCAAGGCCCTGAGTACAAACCCCAGCACTCACTCACACACACACACACACACACACACACACAGAAGGGGCAAAATGAATTTTATTTGGGGGTTATAGGACAGTTAGGGACTAAAGTAGGAGTACGATTTTTCACTATATGCCATTTTCAGAAATAATTTTGGTTAGAAAGAAAGATATTTATTAGGTAGCTATTGAACAGAAAGATGAGTAAAATATAAACTACTGAACGTGTTTGCACGTAATCATATAATATTAAAAACATCTAATCATACCACTTCTAGGCATCTACCCTGAACAACAGGAACCAATATACAAGGACACGTGCACCTCCATGTTTACTGCAGCACTGTTCACAATAGCTAGGATATGGAAACAACCCAGATGCCCCACCACAGATGAATGGATCCAAAAATTGTGGTATCTATACACAATGGAATATTATGCAGCCATTAGAAAGGACAAAATAATGGCATTTGCAGGGAAATGGATGGAGCTAGAAGAAATCATGTTGAGCAAGGTAAGCCAAGAGCAAAGAGACAAATGGTACATGGTCTCCCTGATAAGTGGATGCTAAATCCAAAATGTTAGGTGATACGACAAAACCAACAGGACTTAAGAAACAAAGAACTTCCACTCATCTGGTCAAACCATTACTAAGTAACCCCATGCTGCTGATCACATGTATGGTGTATATGTGTACACCGTTATATGTTATAGACCATGATAGACAATTTGCTCCAGGAAAGTTAGAATGAGTTTGTAACTTTAAGTGAGCATCATTATCCTACAATACTGTGAAATTTGGGAAATTATGTAATCACTTAACCACAATTAAAAAAAAACAAAAACAAAAACAAACATCTGACACAGGCAATGTCTGTGGCTCAGTGTGTGAGTGCTGTCTGCCATCGTTGAAAGAGGGCTGATTTGACTTCCAACACTGCATTAAAAAAAAAAAAAAACCACCGGGCACCGGTGGCTCACACCTATCATCCTAGCTACTCAGGAGGCTGAGATCTGAGGATCGTGGTTCAAAGCCAGCCTGGGCAAGAAAGGCCATGAAACTCTTATCTCCAATAAACTACCCAGAAAACCGGAAATGGCACTGTGGCTCAAGTGGTAGAGCGCTAGCCTTGAGCTGAAGAGCTGAGGGGTGGCGCCCAGGCCCAGAGTTCAAGCCCCACGACCGACAAAAAAGAAAAACAAAAAACAAAACTGACCCCCTGGCACAAAACTGACAGCATTACAAAGAAACTGCAATGAGCAAGGATTCAACATACATCTCAGAGACACTATGAGATCAACCAGGAAAAGAAAAGAATAGGTAGATGGAAGGTTTAAATCACTCAAGGAAGAAGTTCAGTTGAATGAAGTTGCATAGAGTCCTACAAATAATGAGAGATAAATACCTTTGTTTTTAGAGTTTTTAGTTTTGAGTGATGTCATTCCATTACCTATTCAAAAAATTAAACAAATTGCATGTGAAGGCAGATTCCATTTTTTTTTTTTTTATCTAGGACTGGGGATTGAACTCAGGGCCTCAAGTTTGCTAGATAGGTGCTCTCACACTCAGCCACGCCCACCACCACCACCAAGACACACCCCTTTCTAAGCCACACCCCTTTGATGGGCCACACCCTCCCCACTGAACCATAGTGACACCACTGTGCGTTACACTTCCAGTAAGTCACGTCCACTACCACAAAGCCACCTGCCTGCCACTGAGCCTCACCTCCAGACATTGCACTTGTGTGTGTGTGTGTGTGTGTGTGCGCTTGGTTTTAGGGCTTGAACTCAGGGTCCATGTGCTGTGCCTGCCTGAACTTTTTGTGCTCAAGGCTGGCACAATACCACTTGAGCCAGAGCTCCACTTGGGGCTTTCTGGTGGTTTGTTGGACATTAGGATCTTACAGACTTTCCCGCCCAACCTAGCTTCATACCTTGATCCTGAGAGGTCAGCTAGGATTACAGGTGTGAGCAACCAACATCTGGTTTGCACTGGTTACTAAGGTAAGGTATCCATTTTTATCCAGGTAGATGCCTGGACGGTGATCTTCCTATTTCTGGCTTTGTGTTGTAGCTATGCTGTCAATAAACTTTTGGTCAAGAAGGGATCTTGTGTAAAGCTCTGGTAGCTCACGCCTATTAATCCTAACTACACAGGAGGCTGAGATATGATTGCAGTTCAAAGTCAGCCCACGCAGTCTCTTATGAACATTTTTGTCCAGCTGGCTTAAACATCAGTCCTCCTGATCTCCACACTTGTTTAGCATGTACATGTCTGTAGGTTCCATCTTGAGCATTGTTTAAAAAAGGAAAGGAAAGGAGCCAGGCACCAGTGGCTCACACCTGTAATCCCAGCTCCTCAGGAGACTGAGATCTGTGGATTGTGATTTAAAGCCAGCCTAGGCAGAAAAGTCCCTGTGAAACCCTTATCTCCAATACACTACTCAAAAAAAGCCCGAATTGATGCTGTGGCTCAAGTGGTAGAGTGCTAGCCTTGATCACAAAGAGGCTCAGGGACAGCCCCTAAGCCCTGAGTTCAAACCTCAGGACCGGCAAAAACAAAGAAGAAAAAAAAAGGAAAGAAAAAAAGAGCTCAAAGATAAAAAAAACAAACAAAAACAAACTATGAGTCAGTGTCTCACGCCTGTAAACCCTAGCTATTCAGGAGGCTGAGATCTGAGGATCAAGGCTCAGATCCAGCCTAGATAGATAAATCCAAGAGACTCTGGAATGAAAAACAGTAAGAGAGCATGAGACCCAGAGTTCAAACCCTAGTGCCAGCACGTGCATGTGCGTGCATGCGTGCGCGCGCGCACACATACACACACCACATTAAAAAAAAAACATAAATAACAACAAAAAGAAACCTATTCCGAATCTCAGTTTACAGGTAGGGAGCTGGTGGCTCAGTGTCCGCGACCAACAGAACCCCACAGCCTGAGCTGTGGAGAGCCAGGCCCTGGGTCCATGAGCAAGCACAGTGCTGCTTCTGGAGCCCTGGCCTTACCTCAGAGAGGTCGTCCTGCTCGGGCGTGTTGGAGCCGCCACTGTCTTGCTCCTCCAGGTGCACCACATCTGGGGAGAAGGTGCCGGTGAGCGGGTGTGTCGCTGCACCTGCGCAGCCCCCTCCCCAGCAGCCCCCGGCCAGCACCTGGAAACGGGTCTCGGGTGAGGCCCAGCTGGTGGATGATGTAGCGGGGGATGTCGGTCTTGACCAGGTGGCCCTCCTTGGCGTGGCCCTCAGCCGCCTCCAGCAGGTGGTAGAACTCCTCCGGATTGAATTCCTGAGGCAGGGCGGGGGGTAGGATCACCACGGGCTCCGAGGGTCCCCCCACCCCTCGGGTCACTCCCTCCTGCCCCCCACGCCGAGCCCTCTCACCAGGCACTCCAACAGCCTGGCCGGGCGGGAGATGATAATGAGCAATTTCTTCACCAGCTGTGTGACAAAAGCCACCTCCAAGCTCTCCGAGCGTTCATAGGCCTGGAGTGGGAGACACAAAAGATCGAGGTTCACGGGCACGGTGGGAGGTTTGTAGAGGAGCCCTAGTATTATTTTATAAGCAAGCAAACTGAGGCCTAGACACACAATTAAAACAACGAGGAGGCTGGGTGCCAGGGGCAGAGGCCTGCAGTTTTAGCTACACAGGAGGCTGAGATCTGAGGTTCATGGTTCGAAGCCAGCCTGGGCAGGAAAGTCCCTGAGACTCTTATCTCCAATTAATCAGCAAAAAGGTGGAAGTGGAGCTGTGGTTCCAGTGGTACAGCTGCCAGCCTTGATCGGAGAACAAAAACCTCAGGGACGGCGCCCAGGCCCCGAGTTCAAGGCCCAGGCCAGCATGCTCACGCACGTGTGCACACACGCACACACACTCCTGTCTCCTCCAGCAGACCTAGGGCGGGGACTGTGTCTTTCGGCGCTTGTCACCTAGCGGATGGCAGGGGGACATGGGGCACGGCTTTGGGGGCGCAGAACGCTCACGTCCTGAAGCAGCTTCTCCAGGTTCTCTTGCAGTTCGTAGAAGTAGACGGTGGTGATGAGGCCGTCTCGGGACTTGGTCAGGCAGTCCCGGGCCAGCTCGATGATCTGGTGGTGGATGAAGCTGAGCACGCCGTCGGCCAGCGGCAGCACGCTGTCAGGTTCGTAGGCGCGGGTGAAATCCCGCAGCTTCTCCTCCATCTGTGCGGTGGCCTGGCGGGAGGCATGGACAGGGGGAGCTGCGTTGCTTGAGGCGGACACCAGGGGGCGCGCAGGGTCCGGTCCGGCTGCCAGGGGCGCGGGGGGGGGGGTTCTGTTCCACCACCAGGGGGCACGCGCGGGGTCCAGTTCCACCACCAGGGGGAGCGCGCGGGGTCCGGTCTCACCACCAGGGGGCGCGCGGGGTCGCCCCAGGGCGCGCACGCGCGCCCAGGGCGCGCACGCGCGCGCGGGGTCCCCGCTGGGCGTCTCACCTTGGGGAAGCGCTCCTTGTACACATGGTTCATCATCACGATCTCGTTGTCGTAGGAGGACGGGGATCGGCCCGGGCTGCAGCGAGAGAAGCCCATGCTGTGTCCAGCCCGCGCTCCTGCCCCCCGCGGCTGGGAGGGCGGTGAGGGGGCTGGGGCCGGGGCCGGGGCCGGGGCCGGGGCCGGGGCCGGGGCCGGGCTGGGGCCGGGGCCGGGGCTGGGGCCGGGGCTGGGGCCGGGGCCGGGGCCGGGGCCGGGCTGGGGCCGGGGCCAGGGCCGGGGCTGGGGCTGGGGCCGGGGCCGGGGCCGGGGCTGGGGCCGGGGCGGGGCCGGGGCTGGGGCTGGGGCTGGGGCTGGGGCTGGGGGCGCGCTTCCTACCTGAGGCTCCGCGATCGGGGCCGCACAGCCGGGGAGCGACGGCCGCCATCCTCGTCGGTGATGCTCTCCGTGCTGCCGAAGTGTTTGGACAGGAAGTGCAGCTCGTCCACCGTGGGCTGGTACGGGAGCTGGTGCAGGCGCTCCTGGGAGGAGCAGGAGGACTGGGGGTGGGGGGATCCGAGTCAGAGCCACTGGGGAGGGGGCCCCCCAGAGCTCCAGGCCCTGGGCTGGGACAAACGGGCAGGATGAGCTCCTAGGCAAACCTAGGATGGATCTGGAGGCTTTTCCACTTTCCTGGACTCTGACTTTGCGCCTTGGCTCACAAGATTGGGGTTGGGTTGGGACAAATGACAAGGGACAGGCAGAAAGGGCCCCGCACGGACGAGACTAGAGGGAGCCTGATGAAACCTGAGTCAAGGCCGGGCGCCTGTGGCTCACACCTGTGATCCTACCACTCAGGAGGCTGAGATCTGAGGGTTCAAACCCAAGTAAGGGCAGGAACGTCCATGAGGCCCTTACCTCCAATGAACCCCCAGAAAATCGGAAGTGGCGCTGTGGCTCAAGTGGTAGAGCGCTCGCCTTGAGCCGAAGAGCTCAGAGACAGTGCCCAGGCCCAGAGTTCAAGCTCCAGTATGGCACTCCACACGCGCGCGCGCACACACACACACAGAGTCCTCCAAGATGAATGGCTGTGACACAAAGGTAAATCATGTGGGAGATGCTAAAAGCCACTTTCCTGTCCCTACCTGCAGTGTCTTTATTTTTATTTGCCGGTTGTGGAGCCTGAACTCTGGGCCTGGGCGCTATCCCTCAGCTCTTCAGCTCAAGGCCAGCGCCCTACCACTTGAGCCACAGCGCCACTTCTGGCTTTTTCTGCTTATGTGGTGCTGAGGAATCAAACCCAGGGCTTCCTACATGAAAGGCAAATACTCTACCACTGAGCCACCTTCCCAGCCCCAGTGTCTTTATTTATTTATTTTTTTTTTTGTCGGTCGTGGGGCTTGAACTCTTTGCCGGGGTGTTGTCCCTCAGCTCTTCAGCTCAATGCGAGCGCTCTACCACTTGAGCTACAGCGCCACTTCCGGTTTTCTGGTGGTTTATTGGAGATAGGAGTCTCACGGTCTTTCCTGCCCGGGCTGGCTTT